CATTAATGTGTTTGAAGATAGTGTGATAAGATAGTCCATCACCAAGCAAAAATCAAAGTTCACCAAGTAACTAACCACATTTGTACTAAGGATCATAATTCATGCCCTTTAATTTGTGGTCGATATTCATTTACTTGTGGTCAATGTCAAACCATCTCAAATCACACGTTGAAAGTGTATCATAAGAGCATATATTTGTTCAAGTAGCTCACAATATCTTGAAAGCATAGTCAAAATATGCCATAAAGCTGAAATTGAACCTTAATTAAATTTAGATGGACAAAGTGTTTGATCAATAAATGGGAGAAAGAATGTATAGGTCAGTTCAATTGTGTTTATAGCAGTAAAGTAATTAACTACATGATGTTGAAAGAACTTAGTGAAGACAAAGCCAAATAGACATGGGAATTAAAGGTGTCCTCATACTTTAAAATATGGTTATACATTACTCCAACACCATCCACAAGACACCTGTTAAAAGACCAAAATAAAACAGTCACCTTGATCACTTATACCATTGTCCACCTACTATTATATGTGTCCAACCCAACCCACGTATTTCATATCCTACCCACTCAAACCTTCCACCAGTCACCCACTTGAACAATTGAAGACCTTACTAGTCTTCGTGAGAAAAATGATACCTAACCTTTATAATCCCAAAGAAAAAAAAATTCTCTTTATAGACCCGGTGTAAGTTTTACCTCTATATACCCCATTAAAAACCAAGATATTCCAAAATTTTTCCACTTCCTTTACCTTTATACAACAACCTTAATTTTAAATAGGTTTTCAATTTGCTTAACCCTTACACCTTTGTAGCATACACCCATACCAACTATTTTTGCAAGGTTGGCAGAAAATATTCTAAAACATTAGAAAATTAGTTAGTAAAGATCGTCAATAGTCCCACCTTGTTCTAATGGTCATTTCAATATATACTCAATTTGGTATTTTCACCCTTCAATGTTTATTCTAACCACTTTTTAATTATTTGCCTTATCTTGCGTTATACTAAATACTAAATCAAGAGATGAGTTAAAAGACCATTAAGAAGATAATAATAATTGTTACCAAGTTTAGATAAAGCTTTTGCCATTATAAGCTTAAATTCCTCCCTCTTTTTTCACTATCAGTAACTAGTCCTTGTTCATTCCTCTTTTATTCCCTCTGACTTAACTACTTTATTATATCAATGCAGAGATATTAACATCTATATTCACCTCAACTTAGTTAAAGCATTAGCCATAAGTTTCTATCTTTATTAACAAATTTAAAGGAAATGAGTTCAGTTTTTCCATTATATTTACATCTTACTAAATAATTAAAAATGATAATCACAATCACCGTTTTTATTAGCTAATATTTTGTAGTCTTTCAGTCCACTTTATCATTTTTTTTTGGCAAAGATGCACTTGATCCATACTTGATCATCTCTTAAGATGTTACTAGTTCTAACTAACCCTAATATATCCCAAACTTATGCATCTATGTTAAACTTCAATTATCTAACCGAGGTGAGACTCAGTCCAATAGTTTGGATGGACAATTAGGTAGAAGTTTTACCCACACCTCTAGAAGCATAATAACTAGCTAGTTGGTTGATTGAGACATCCTCATACATCAGTTAAAAAAACTTTATATACAAATTTAGTCTAATGTGCACCAAATCACTTATCGTATAAATAGATTTTTTTCATTAAAAATAATTTTGTCTTTAATCATCTAAATCAATCAAACTATGATATAAGAAAGTATTGTTAATATATTCTTTTGTTTCTCTCTAAGAGATGAATTCAAGTCAGGTTATGTATTTTTCTGTATTTTGTTTTTATAAATAAAATTAAAAAAAAAATTGGGTATCTTCTACTTTAAAAAGTAAAAAATGAATGTAATACGAGAACTCTAAAAGATTATGCATTATATTTAACTGTGAAGTTACAAAATTCGGTACGTTAATACTGGTACGATCGTAATATTATAATTAACGTAACTTAATTAATAAAAAAATATAAATATTTAAAAATAATTTAATAGCTATAAGTAATGATGATTATTTTATTATCTTTATTGTTGGCATAGTGGACACATAAAACCATATGCCTTTTTCTTTTCCTAGGAATGCTAATTCATGCATGTAGTCAATAAAGCATGAATTTTATAAAATATTTCTTTATATATTTTAATATAAGAGGGATAAATAGGCTTACCTGACGGACATGATCTGACCCAAATTAATTAACATATTTGTAATCTTGTGAGGTTCTCCTTCCAAAGACAAATCCAAAAGGGCCAATCACTTGTCCAATCCCAAAATCATTGCACCAAAATTTATTGTTAGATCGAAGCTGTGCGATGTGATGAAAGTATGATCATGCAACTAATCGTCCTTTCTTTTCAATTAGAATTATATAATTACTCAACTCTGTTCATCATTCTAGTTATTTAAATTCCCTAATAATTTTAAAAAATATTTTCACGAATTATAAAAACCATACCATGAAGTGTTTTCTTGGCCTTTGTTTTTTTTTTTTTTCTCTCTTTTAAGAAAATAAAAAACTTGACAGCTGCAATTTCTGCAGCCATTTTTGACCATGTAACGGCAGCAGCAGAAGGAGACTGCAAAACAAAAATTTATTTTTGAAATTTTGATTGCATAATTATTTATTTTACTGACTTTTTCAATTAATTATTTTTTCAATAAACATGCACGTTGGTTAAAATTAGTGTTCAACACCATGTCACCTTTTTTTTATTTTATTTTATTTTTCGGTGCTATACTCTGTTTGGATTGATTTATTCAAAAGTCACAAGGCCAAAAGATCACAAAGGGAGTTGCATCCAAAAGATCATGTGGGATAATTTTTAATATTTTCAATGAAATCGTCAAAATATATCAAATTCCACGTAATAAATGTTAAATTAATATCAATAAAAATTTTAAAAGGTTAAAATACGAGATAATGAATAATCAAATACAATAAGATACAAAGCTTATAACTTACTTAGGGCTTCAAGCTTAAATTTTAGCCGTGCAAATATAATATATGATTCTATGGCTTGTGCTGAGATTATTTAATTTTAGATCAATTATTAAATTAATTTTTGACTTTTTTATCTTTTATAATTTTTTATTACAAGTTAATTTTAAATATGCTAACTTTATTTCCATTTTATTATCGTTATATTATATTTGGATACTTCAAAAAATAATTTTATTAATTAATAAATTCAGTAATAAAAATAGGTCTAATATTACTATTAATTTAATTTAATTATTTAGTTAAATTAATTTTTTGAATTATTTTTTAAAAAATATGCAAACACAATCTAATTATTTTAATTTTTTTTCCTAAGAAAATTGAAGAAAACAAGGTACTTGAAATAAAAAGAAGATATCATGAATCAAATTGTAATTATAAAAAAAAACGTTAAAAATTAAATTTTAGAGATTAATTTACTAATTTGTTATTTAATTTTTTTTATTTAAAAATTGTATAAATAGAGGATGTACCTAGACTTCCAAACAAGTTAAGATCAAATAAATATTAAACGGCCATATGTATTGAGATTTTCAAATTATTTAAGATTAAATGAATTAAAATTACAACATAAAAAATAATTTGAATTTAATAAATTTATTTATAATAACAACATAATAATACTTGAAGATTTACTACATATAAAGTATGGATGGCTAGATATTATTACATAGTGGGAAATTAATTTCAGTGGGCATTAATGTATGCACATATAGGTTGAAAGATGATATGGTTAATAACCACCGAAAGTAAGACTACGACATATATATATATATATATATACACACACGCACACATATACACATAAACACTATCAAGAATGATGATTGTAGGACGAGTTTCACATTAGAGAGATGAAATGCGCTTTTTTTATTTTATTTATTTATTTTTGCTGTTGTTTGTTGTTGCATATATCAAACTTCAGGCTTTATTTTATGGGGCACGTTCTCTTTATCGATGTCATGTGAAGTGACTAAAGTCAATGCAATAATATATACATACATATAAATATATTATAAGCTTTACAATTTAGTGGAAACCGACAGTCAAGAATTGTCAGATTTTGGTTTTTTAGATGTTATACACATCTGCTTTTAGTCTAAGACAATATGAGTTCACGTCAACTAACAAAGAGTAATGACCTTATTAAAACTGATTTTTAAACAATTTAAATTAATAAAAAAAATTACGACAATGTATTTCTTTTATTTTTATTTTTATTTTTAAAAAAACATTAGTTATTTAAGAATTTTCAATATATTCACCACTCAAAAAAAAAAAAAAAAAAAAGAATTTCCCTGACCTAATATTTATAACATATAGTTCAGTTTTCGGCCCAACACCCTCAATATTCAAACTGAACAGTTAATCTTCAGTGGTGGTATTAGTACCGAATGGGCCAAGTCTGTCTTGGTACTATTTAACCTAGTCATCTTAATATCGTCGGGGCCAGACCCAAGATGAGCTGCCCTTGCTCAAACCGGCAACAGCAAAATTCAACAGTGTTTTTAACATGACACGTGAAGGATCGAGTTTATTATAATCCTGCAACTACATGTTTATGTGATTCTATATTGAATTATAGATTAATAACAACAGATTCCGTTCTGTTTGCACCTTTAAAATCAAAATACAATAAAATAACTCTGATACAATATTTACCGTGTCTTTTGATTTTGCTGTGTCAAGGATTAGTGGGCCGAAGCATTGATCTATCTCCCACTCTTTTACAGGTTATACGAAGAGCACCCTTTTATCTTTTGTTTCAAATTTCAATCCCCCTTCCTCCAAGTGAATCGCGCCAGCTTAGGCCACTAATAATCCCTTATAGTAAATTTGCCTCATCAAATTAAACACTCAACTCATCGGTTCTCTCCACTTTCTAATTCACAGAAAAAGTTGTTAGTTTGAAAATCTTCTTCTAAATAAAAAAGGATAATTAACAAACCGCAAGAAGAATGGCTCAGCAACAGCAATTATACTGCTTTCATCATTTAACATATCATACTAGTAAACACAGCGGAAGCACTACGGCCGAATTAGGTGGCTACAACATTGAGTGAAGGAAAAGCAATTATATGACAGCTGGCTAGGATACTGAATCTATTACATTCTCTATGAAACAACTTTTCCAACAAAAGCTAACCCAATGGATTCTACTGTGGATTCCCAAATTAAAACATAAATTCCATCTGGCAACAAGAATTAGAAAATGAACTACCTTACCCTACCAACCACTGTAATTTAACTAATCTGACTGTGGATCTCAACAGTGCTACCCGCAAGCCAAGTTAAAATATCAAAGGTAACAAATCCCAGAGGGGGTTCTACTAACTGTGTAAGCAAGGGGAGAGTGGACCAGAGCAAACAGATCAGCAGCAGACGGAATGTGCAGTCCAAGAGAATCATCAACTTTTACCTCATCTCCTTCGCTTCTTTCCAGACTTTGCTTCACTTCCATGTGTCTTTGTTGTTTTCCCTTTTGTGCTTTCAGGTGATTTAGCCAACTCAGCTGAGTCTTCCTCCATTTCGTCACTTTCTTTGACCTTTGATGAACCAGATTTAGACTTTCCGGTACCATTGACATTTGATTTGCCACCACTTTTTGGAAGTTTGCCTTTTGCTGAGGAAGTCTTCATTGTTTCATTCTTGAATTTTGAAGTTGTTGGGGTCTCTTGCTTCTTGGCAGAAGTCTTCAGCATGCTGGAGCTATCTTCCTTAGACTTGCCAGATTTCGGTGTTGCACTTTCCTCATTTTTGGATTTGTTGGCAAGTTTTGAAGCAGCATCAACCAATTTACCACCAACTTTACCAGTGGAATCCTTGCTTTTTCCAACATTGTCATTTTCTGCTTTGCTATTAGCCTTAGAACCACTTTTGGATTTGCTTTCAGATTTATCCTCATCCTTGGATTTCCGACTAGACTTTGTGGCTGCAGCTTTTGACTTGCTGGATGAGCCCCTAAAACCAATTAAATATTTTACTTTCAGAAATTATAGGTCCGAATAACAGCAAGGTTTAATAAAAATCTATCCACCTCTTTTGCGAAGCATCTGTCTTCCCTTGCTTTGTCCGGTCAGAATTAGTTTTTGCTTTCTTCTTCTCGGGCCTGGTTATAGTTGATGCAGAAAATACATTTATGTTAAGAACATTTAACCAGAAAAGAATTAGTCAGACAAAGAAACCCGATAACTATTGTTATATCCACCTGAAAATAACTTCAGATACTAAATTTCAAACATCTCAGACTTTGAAATAATGATAACAGTTCAGAATCCAATATGACAATATCAACATTAGCACTTACATTTCAGATGAAGCATCAGTATTTGTGTGATCAGCAGCTTCTTCCTGTAAATGTACATTAGCATAAACATATGATGGGGATTAAGATTCCAAATTCAAAATGTATAAATCTACAATTTGGAAAATCACTCACCTCATCAGATTCAGAATCACTTTTGATAATCTCCCACTTCTCTTTTTTAAGATTTAGGATTTCCTCATCACCATCAGTGTATAGTACCTAACAAAGTAGGGCGACAACAACTATGTTCATTAAATGATTAAATGAAACATATCAGCACATCTTCAGGTGAACAACAATTTATCCCACAGATTCAAAACATCTGAGTGTAGGAAATCCTAAAAATGATCAAAGACGGTGACACATACAACAAAATAGAGCTAATGCATCCTTAATACTGAAAGATTTTACCTTATGTTTCTTTTTGACAGAATCATACGAATCAATGACACCCTCATAAAACCTGCAACCCAAAATAAGCGTTGATTAAAAAAAAGAAACTAGACAACCTTAAGTTACTAAAATATCAAAGCAAACATGATTTACAACCTACAACTACCCACCATTAAAAAAAAAACCCCATGCCCCCTAATGGTGAGATACTGCTGAATATTTCAGAAAAAAACTATAACAAGGATAAATATTATTAAGCTGCACTTTGAAGGACAACATCCTGACTA